ATCTATGGAGATAGAAAATTTTTCCCTGTGAGCATTCATCTTGGAATTCATGAGTATCAGAATTTCAATCATCATTATTAGCATTAGAATATCAATGTAAGAATTTGAAAAAGAAAAAAAAATGGAGAGAAAAAGAGAAAGAGGGAGAGAAAAGTTCTATTCTTTTTAGCAACTGATATTCTTATAATTCCAAAGAATTGCCTCAAGATATTGAGGAGGAAATTCTGGTTATCATGAGACTCGAAAGAAAAACTTTTTTTCCAACAAAAAAGTTTTGTTTATCTATTATTCTAATTTCGAGTGACAATTTCGATTAAACCAAACTAATTGTTATCGATTTGACAATCAGATTGTAATGATTCAGTTTTCCATGTAAATTAATCCTCATATTCCTGAATTAATGATATTTAATGAATTCCATGTTAACTAATCACATACCTTGGTGATTATGGTCAATAATAATTATCATGATTGTTTAAATGTATTAAACATCAAGTGAAACAATTAACTGACTAATGATTAAAAGGAATACAATTATTACCTTAATTATTAACTTCAACTGAATCACAATTGAAATTGAAATTACCAAAACAACCAGACTAACCATTTGAATACAATTTACTGTATTACAATCAGAAAATAATGGTTAATCATTATGATAATCATGATTAGTTTACTGATTATGACAATTATCATTAACGACTCCTTGTAAATCCCATTTAAATGATTGTGAAAAGTGAAAATTATGCTAATCATCAAACAATCAACTGAATTAACATTGAAATGATAATCGTAATTAATGTGAATTAATATTGTTGTCAGATTCAGTCTACCATTGAAACAGAAAATGATTTTTTTTTGTAATATTTACTTTTTATTTAGATCTCATAAATTATCATCATCATCATCATCATCTTGACCATTAGTATATCATGATGATAATTGTCATTGCAATTACTTTATTGTTGTTATTAATTGTTAACTAAACAGCAAGATAATCATTTCATCAGATGAAAATTATTATTATCATTTCAATTGAATTGATTTCCTATTGAAAGTTAATCATTTTCTTGACCAGTAACTTAAATTGTTCATCTTGATTATCTTGTTTACTTATGTATGTGTGTGTTAAACTGTTAACAATTAACTTGAACAATTTATATAAATCGTGTCTATTGACTGTATATGTGAGTGTGTGTGTCTTAAATTGTCTAACTAATTGTTTGATAATAAGGATTGATTATCATTGATTGTAATGATAACACACAAATACAAACATATCATGAATTCAATTGTAACTTTAATTTCAATTGTACATCTTGATTGTTAATCATCAACATGATGATGATCATCATTATCCAATTAAAATTTTCATAATTCTCTTAACCATAACTATTATCATTGATTAAGTAGCTACACGAAAAAAACGTGATTGTGATTGAAGATTAAATTGTTTTCTTATGTATCATCATCATCATCATCATCCTGTTGGTCAACAATTGACCTCAAACCGAAAGATACAAAACTGAGCCCGTAAATATAATGTTCATTTCATTATCTTGATTCATTTATCATGAATCATATTCTCAAAGAAGAAGAGTGAAAATCATCATTCATACAAGAAAATTCCCTGAAAAACTAATCATGTTATTGTTTAGTAATATTCAGTTGATAGAAATGATTTTCTTTCTCTCTCTCTTCATCTTCATCATCTTCTTATATTATCAACATGATGAATTTCATCAATTTCCATATCTACTAGGAAGTAATAGAAACACAATTTTCGATATTTCAAAATAAACATAGAAAAGCAAGTTCGAATATGATAAAGTCATTTTTTTTTCTTCTTCTTTTTTGAGAGAAAAAAAAAGTTTCATCATTAATATCAAATCGATCTGATCAACAGTAAAAAGAAACTGTGAAAGTTTATCATTGGAAAACCACAATAAGAATATTTAAATTTGATATTTGATTTGATTTCCCATGAATATGAATCTGAATCGCAAAGAAAAATATGATTACTCCTTTCATGTTGATCATTGATCCCACCAAAAGAAACCAAAACCATGATGATAGTAATAATAAGAGAGCATTCAATATGTATGAATAATCATCAATACATTTGAGCATCTGATTATTCAGTTGATAATAATATGAAATAAGTCACAATAACATGGGATTACCTTGAAATCCAAGAAAAAAAATATCATCAATATCATTGAAAACAAAAGTAACTGTCATGGTGACATATTATTATCATGATGACATTTCATGATGATGCTGATGAGGATGAGGATGATAATATAATATGTCAAACAATTGGATTCTGGTTTTGTATTTGATATAATCAAACTTTGTCATAATTGAAGTGGGAGTTGAAAAGTTAAGCAAGAAAATATTAAATTATTGATAACCTTTGATGATAAAGCAACGAGAAAACAAAAATCTAATTAAATTGTTTGAAAGTTCAACTAGTTTATGTTTTTTTTGATTGTAATAGTTAACAGGATGATTTAAATTATTTATATTTACCAATCAAGATGGTTACAATCAACTCCCAATTGTAATGTAGTAAATTCATTCATTTAATCAACACAATCAAATGGTCCAACTATTGATTAAAGTTAATGTAACAACCACAATATAATATGTATAAAATTTCATCATTTAATCATGAGAAATGATCATTAATTAAATTGTTGGTATTGATTCAGTTATTTTATCAGGTTAATCGTATTGACTATTGGTCATTGTTTTGGCTGGACAGTGGGGGTTGTGGTTGTGGTGGTCGTTAGGATGTTGGACCAAAGGTGGGAAAAGTGGGTGTTGATGCTTAATTGAACCGTTGTCACAATTAAAGCCATTGATTAATATTAATTATGATCATTGGGAGTAGATGATTAGATTAATTATCCAATCACAGTTAAGGTAAGTTTGCTGTTAAAGCTTTAATCAACATTGACAATCAACATTGATTAGTTGATTAACCAACTTTAACAATAACAACGCCCATCTCACCAACAATTAACAATCATTAAGGCTTATTAATAGTATAATTGTAATTGTAGTTAATCATTTAACTTTTACTTTTCTACCTTTTAGATTATTAGTTAATTGTTATTACTATTATTGATTATTTACTATCAACAATTAACTTGAAAACTTTTCCCAATACTTGCATCTTGTGGTTACTAGAAATGGTGATGATTAAAACTTTGATTTAGTTAATTGTGATTCCAAAATTAAATTAAAGTTTTCACACTTTTTAATTGTATTAGTTCAATTGATTAATATCATTGATTTTTATTGTTATTGCTATTTACAGATTCAATTATTTATATTGGTTTGTTGTTGTTGTTGTTGACAGAATTGACAATTATTCAAGTTAATTGTTTTGGACAATTTAATTTTGTGGTTGATTGTGAAGTTAATTTAATTATATATTAAGAAAAATTTATTAATCTACAATGATATCAATACTACTAATATATTTATATATCAATAATAATAATAATAATAGTAATTAAAGTTTCAAGGATAAGGAGAAATCGGAAACGGAAACGGAAATGATGAGGATGATGATGATGATTGCAACTCTCTTTGGTAATAATAAGAGGATGAATCGTTAATTGTGATTATCTTTTTGTTTTTCAAGTTTTCTTTTTAATCAGTTAATTAATGAAGGACAAAGGAGGAAATAAAATCTACATAAAACAAATGATTAAATTAATTTATTGGATTGTATATATAATTAGTCAGCAGTTAGTTGATTGTTGTAAATAAAACAGAGGAGCAGATGATGACGACGATGATGAGGATGATGATGATGAGGAAGATGAAAAATAAATACAAATATTAATTGTTGATGATTGTGGTTTTAATCATTCAATTGGTGGGCTTAATTGTTACTATTAAATTATGATTAGTTTAATTACCATCAACTTCAATATCACTTTGATCATTTTCAATGATTCCTCTCATTTCATCACTACTATCATCAACCTCTTCCCCCACTTTATCATCATTATCATCATGTCTCTTATCATCTTCAAATCTCTTACTCTTACTCGCTCTTTCATCTTTCATTTTTTTACTTTTCTGTTTTCGATGATTAATTAAATTATCATCAGCTGATCTATCAATTAGCTGAATGTTTATCAACTTTTTAGAATCTGAATCAAGAGTATCAACATGATCATCTTCATCATCTTCATTATTATCACCTGAATGATGATGAGAAGATGAACCAATTTTCGAATTTATTCTAATGTCCATTTTATCTTTCATCTGAGAATTTTCATCCTTCTCTTCCGGTTTATCTTCTTCATCATCTTTAGATGAATTGTTTCCAATGATGATCATATTTTTAGGAGTATCGATTTCATCATCATCTTCACTCATTGCATCCTTATTACTATTAATACTATTTTTACAATTGTTTGGGTGGGGCAGTGGTCGATGATGATGATTATCACCCTCATCATCATCACCATCATCATCTGAATTATCATCTGTATCTTCATCTTTGGTATTCATTTGGATTAACATGATTGGACTTTGATGATGGTGGTGATTAATATTATTACTATTATTGTGATTGTTGGTTGACTGTAGATGACGAGATGACCCTCGATTTGAGGGTCCAAGGTCAATGGGTCCAGTGTTATCATCTATATCATGTTCATCCACTTCCGGGCTTGAAGGTCGAGGTGATGAGGACATGAAAGAGTTAACATCATTAGAGGAATCATCATCATCCTCATCTTCATGATCAGATAAAATTGCTCGATGTGATTGTAAATGATGATGATGATGGTGATTTCTTGATGATTTTACCGATGATGATGATGATTTAAACAAGCTCGGACCATGATGATGACGGTTATTATTATTATTATTATTATGATAAAGATGATGACGAGATGATGATGATGATGTTAATCCACTTGAATTACGTTTACCGTTATTATTACCCAATGTTGATGAAGATCCTGAAGATGCTACGGTTGGTGTTGTTGTTGAGTTATTGATATTTCATTATCACCTTTAGATGAATTGTTAACATGATTACCTGTTGATGTGGTGGATGATGATGATGATGATGATAATTGATTCTGTTTATTGCAATTAGAGAGCAGATTTTCAATTGAGAAGGAATTAAATTTTGATTTGAATGCTGATGCAGTTGAAGGATGAAATCCAAGTCCAGTTGATGCGGTTATGTGGGCAGTTAGATTTTGATGTAATTGATGAAGATGATGAGCAGCGTGAGCATGATGAGATGATAATAATGATGAAAATTGAGCATTTGCAAGAGGTGAAAAGGAACCTGAACCTCCACCGCCATTGGAACCGCCATTACCACTGCCACTAGTACCGTTACCTCCGAGACCAATAAGTTGAACATTTGATCGTGAGGATGCTGATGATGAAGAAGATGATGAAGTTGAGAGAAGATGATTTTGATTAGAATTTTTAGTTTTATTGGTTGGATTAGTTAATCCACCGGTTGAGTTAATCTTACCATTGGTGGGATTTGGTGTTGATTGTTGTTTGGAGTGGAAAGCGGATGAAATTGAAGATGATGAAGGTGTTATCGTTGTTATTGTTGTCGCTGAAAGTGAACCTGAAGGTGTGGTTGATGAAGATGATGAGGGTGACATTGAAACCGATGATGAGGATGAATTTGGTGAAAGAGATGAGTGATGATGATGAGAATGATGGTGATGATGATGATTACTAATCATTGGTGGTTTTCTCATGATTTCACAAACATCAACATTGAGCACATCATTTAGTAGGCCGAAAATTTCCCCACCCACCAAATCTCGTGGTTCTTTACGATTATTAAGTGACCGCAACTCGACAAGTGATTGAATAATACCTTCGGTAAGTGAGGCCGTGTTTACACCAGGCTTTAATTTAGATTGTTGTAATCGTTTAGCTTGACGCTCTAATTGTTTTCTCATCTTCTTTCCCCTTGTCTCGATCTCGCTTGACAATTTCATCTGGAGGTATTGGATCACCCGAACAGGTCTGCGGGTGAGCGTTGTGAGCTGGTCGACCTGGACCCTTCTTGGTGTGCTCCTTTTTCCGCCATTTAGCTCGTCGATTTTGAAACCAAACCTGAAAATCCAACAACAACAACAAAAAAAAGGATAAAATGGTTATTTAGAAGATTCAAAGTTCGAAAGGTTCAAATTATCCTTTCATTTTATTACTCGATAAACTTTTCGATCACAATAAAAGGTGAATAATGTTTCACTAATCATTTGATTACCAATCATTCTGGTTATGTCTTTTTATCTGCATCAATGATTATCATTGCGTTTACACCTCGAAACTGTCAATGAGGGATTTTGTTTCTTTGATTAGAACTTGATAAAAACTTGAATTTCTAAACCTTTTACATATGTTTCGAGATTTGGACATTTGTGATATTATCGATATCTTTTCAATAATAATTCTCATTCTTATCAGTTGATGATTTTTGTTTTCCAATGGGCCTGATGCCAAGTCTCCGGAAACATGATGATGATAGAGAATGATGATTGATGCGATTGGGAACAAAATCATCATCTCATCTTCCTCCTTCCACCTCCCCCAATCTCTCTTTCAATGTATATAAATGATGACAATCAAGATGAAAATGATGAGATTTTATGTTCTGCTTTTAATTTCATCCCTCATTATGATGAAAATGATAAAGATAATGAAGATGAAGGAGAAAAATAGTGAGTGAGAGAGAGAGAGAGGAGTGAGGGTGTTGATGAAATGAAGATAATTTTACCTTGATTGATCTATCATCTTCTATCTTCATCAACATCAACATCAAAGTGTTTACAAGATTCAAATGATAATATGAATCAACAATCATGGCGATCATCTGAAAATTTTTTCTTCATATTCGATTCTATTCCAACTAAAACTATCATTTAATAAATTATATCATTAAAAATCCAACCTGAACCACGCCTTTTTTACTCACTATATTTTACTCACCATTCATCATCACTCATCCATCTCTCTCATCATCATCATCATCACCATCTCTGTGTATCATTTTTAAATAAAATCTTTGCCTTCACCATAAATGGAAGATAATCTTTGTAAAATCTTCATCTTTTTCCTCTGAAGTAAAAAGAAGATGAAAAAAAAAGAAAGAGAGAAATTTTCATCTCTCTCACCATCAGGATTATTTCTCATCCTCATCACCTTGATCATCTTCCACCCTCCAACCTCCTTCTTCCTCCACCCTCATCCCTAATCATTCATTTACACTTACAAGATAAAATTAAGTTGTTAATGATCAGATGTTAATCCGAATTGATGAAGATGCAAAAGCAATTTAATAGCCTGCCAACAATTAATCGGATAAAACCTCATCAATATATATTATCCTCTTCCGGTCATCATTATCATCATCATCCTCATCACCACCACCACCACCACCGCCAATAACAACGACCCCTAATTACTAACTCTAATTATCATCTCAATCAAAGTTAATCCAATTGAATTGATGCGAAAATGAAAACATCAAGAAAACAAGAAAATCCAAAATTACAATTGAAACATTTACACCTCTCATCTTCAATCATGATGATAAATATTTTCCCTATATAATCATCTCAGCATCCTCATCATTTATCATCAATAATATAGATATTATTTATCTTATCATTGCTATTCAATTAAATTGCCTTTTCTCCAACAATTGTATCCCAAACAATCAAATCAAATTGTGATCACTTTTCATGATAATTTATCAATACGAAAAGAGAGTTAATTTTAACTACAATTTGTTAAAAACTATTTTTCTTTCCTCTTCATCTTCATCATCATTTTTATCATCAATTGTTGTCTAACAATTGTAATCACGCAATTGAGTCAATAATAAATTGTAACTCGATTGTGTAAATAATAAACAAAGGTTACAAATAGACAATCAAATGAAAAAAAAAGGATGAGGATGAAAACCATTTCCTGGAAATAGTTTGATTTTTGTCATCATCATCATTGAATTTAATCCTATAAAAATAAACAACAACAATGATTATTTTTTTTCAATGAGAAACTTATTGTGTTTATCTATAGGGAAGAGGATGATAATCTCATCATCATCATCTTAATTTATTGTTTATCAAGTAATAAACAATTGGGTATCTTCATATTATGAGCTAATGTTTGGGAATAGTGATACTTTTGATTTGAGTTATTGAAATTTTTCGATCTCATTCGATGAGGAATGAGAGTTTGCTGAGATATTGAATTTTTTCTAGAAATTTTGTTGTTTCTCAAGATATTGCGTCATTTGGTTGAAAATGACGAAATATCATTGAAACTTCTTCCTCAGTTTCCGGTCAAAATACATGAAATTTTTCTTTGTAATTAATTTTGAATATGGAAATAACACTCAGCATTCCATTAATTGACCGATTTTGACCATAAATAATCTTCGATTAAAGTTTGATTATTTGTTCAGAGCTACCTCTGAAAAATGACAATTTATTTTCGACATACATTCGAAAATCAAATTTTCGATGCTTTGATTTGATGCAATATTCGTGAAAGATACAATTGAAGCTCAAAAGTTGATTAATAATTTCACATAATTTCAAGAAATTTAATTGAAAATTAAAGTCACCATAATAGCTTGAAAATTTTATTCCCAAACTTTATGTATATACCTTATTATCATAATGATGATTTAAGAAGCTCAAGATGAAATTATTTTTCTGTAGTACTTTTTGTTATAACGGTTATCCCATTTTACTTCCGGAAAGTTTATTATTATAAGAAAGAAGATGATGAGGAAGATAAGGAAGATAAGGAAGACAGAAAAACAATGAATCTAATATTATCTATTATAGGCTTGAATTTGAGAGAGAGAGAGAGAGAGAGAGAGAGATGATGATGATGATGAAACAATTTGATCTTCGCAATTATATTAATATGAAAATCGAGTTATCATTTAAAGGTGAAGATAATGAGTCAAGAATATTTGTCATCATTATCATTTAACTGTTCTGAAAGTGACCTAGAGCATATATCACATTATGAAGATGAAGATGAAGATAACATTGGATTCTAATATAAATCTGGTAGAAAGATGAAGATGAAGAGAATGAGAAAATTTTTTCTATTTACTATCAACCATTTTCTTCATTTAAATTGTTACTCTATTATTGTTATTTGCTCTTGTTGTTACAAGACTTGGACGTGAATTGAATTGATATGATAATGATGATGATAAGGATGAGGATGAGGATAAGGATGATAAACAATATATAAAAATTGAGATCACGAAGTACAAGGGCAAAAGTGCAAGTTAAATGTTATCCCTATGAGATAAATGATAATGATCATCATCCTCATCTTTTTCATTTGAGCATCCTCATCCTTTTCTGTCCTATTCCTTTGCGTCTGATTAACATTTATACAAAAATTAACTTTTCCCCAATCAGTGTAAAAACAAACAATTAATTCTGATGGTAAATCAATTGTTAATCACCAATTGATTGTTTTTAGATGGTTAAAGATGTAATTTTGTTTTTCCATCACTTTAATACTAACAAGATTATCCTTTGACCTTGTTAACAAGGGGAAAGTGTGTCAATGTTTATTACTAAGGTTAAAAGGCTATCTTGTTGTTGTTGTTTCCATCACTTCATCATTTCCGTATCCTCCTTTTTTTTCCTGCTCTTCTTTTGTCCAGATGAATTCAGATTAACCGGAAATTGTCCGTTAGTGTGAAAATGAACAATCTAATTAGGAAATTACAGATTAATCATTGATTCTTATCCCAATTGACATGAATCTCTCGCCTTATTGTTAATTGTTAGAGACAATTTGATTGGAGAAATTGATAATCAAGAATGATTAGTGATAGAAAAAAAAGAGAAAAACTAATAAACAATTAGATTGTGTTACTACAACTTAATCAACGATATAATAAATTCATTGATGAGATAAACAATTTACTTAATCAACAATCAAATTGAATGATGAAAACAAAGTTAAAGACAAAACAATCAACCCGGAACAATAATGAATAACAAAACTTAAACAGATGATAAAAGATGCTAATTATCAGAGGCTACTGATGATAATCAAGGTGTATAATCATCATCATCTTCATCTTCATCATCATCATCATGATGAGATGCTGGTTGTAAAAAGAGAGGATGAATTATGCAAATAAAGATGAGGATGAATCGCCAAGCGGCACAAATTTAGATGGATGAGTTTTGTTTAAATCGTTAAACTGTAGATGAAGATTAAGGATATGGATAACAATTTATTTTGATCATCTTCAAATCCTAATCAATTCACTGATGCGGGTGCCAATTGATGATAATGATTATAATTTACAATTAATCAACTTAAAAATGAAATGGGTGCCGGTAAAAACTGTTACATGTTTTTGTATATACATACATTCAATTTAATTTGAATAATAATCAAACTACAAACACAATCAAATACAACAATTGAATATCATTTTCAATTCATAAGATACTCAAGGCGTGAATGTTAATCATTTCCCTTCCCTGATCATCATCATCATCATCATCATCATCATCAATGATTAACCCTCCTCGTCCCCACCACCCACTACCCACCATCACAATTGTCACAATTAACTTTGTTTCCAATGTCAATGTGTTTAAAATTTGTCACATTAAATTTGTCAATGGTAATTTGTTATGTCCAATACAAAAGTTGTTTCCCTTTTCTCATTGTAATTGTGATTAAATTATCATCACAATTAGATTATCCAACAATTACCTGTAACCATTAATAAATATTATTGAGCTTTATTGCCTTTTAATTGTTCAAATAAATTGTTACCATTTTGTTGTTGTCAAACAATTTCAAATGAACAATTTGTATCATATTGATAATAAATTGCTAATAAATTCAAATTCAACAATTAATCCTAAATTTAGACTCATTTAACAATTAATATTATTAAGTTAACTGTTTGATTTTTTTTTCTCCGCCATTGTTAACATTACAATCAGTTAATTCAGTTGTTGTAATCAATACAAAGTTTATATGATTAATTTTTCCCAATCACAATTGAAACTAATCAACTTTATGTTATATCATTTTTACATTTT